GAAACGTTTAGGTGGTCAGTAATATCATAGTTACGAATAGTATAGTACTCAGTATTCAACGTAATCCACACAAAGTTATGGGATATAACTTAAGTGGTACTCTTATCAAGTTAGTAACGAACAGCAAACACTTTGAAAGAAGTCTTTAATTCATATACAGAACCACGGAAAAAAGGTCGGCAAAATTCCCTGTTCCTGTTGTTCTGAGATTGGGAGAACACCCGGTATAGAAAAGAATGTTTGCAGTATGGAAAATATAATTATTTTGTTTTCTAGTTAATGATTAGTAGGACTAAAAAGTAGAATCACCCACTTCAAGAAGAATTCCGTGCGTTTCAGATAAGACGGACGACGATCTCTGGCAACCAGAAACTTTTCCGTTTCTATTTTATTGTCCGAATGCTCGCAACAATCAACTACGTGGCAAAACATTCAAGCTGTTTGCCAATACCAGGTAGTCGACTAACAGAGATGAGACAAAATAATAGACGCCCTTGATTAGCGTAGGACCAGGTCAATAAATGCTAAACAAAGACTGAAGCAACTTTTCAGTAATCCGAAAAATATCGGGAAAATGTTCTTCCTTTCCGCTGTGGAAAAGGCCATGAACTTTCGCCAAGATTTGTTAGATTTTTTGTGATATGTGGTATTCGTAAACGTTCCGTAACTTAACTGTTCCGAAATATTGCAAGATTTGCCACTTCCAATTAAGTTTGTCCTTCTGCCTGACTTCTTATGGAAACAAATTTACTTCGTGAAAAAGGCTCCCGTTGAATCGTTAGGCGTTTTTCTTACCTCGGGTGTTTATTGGACCGTAACGTAAATTTTCCACGCGTCCCAGAACTTCCATTAGAAAGAGCGAGCAGCGTCGCACATGCACAAAGAACTAAATGAAGATTGTGGAGTGCGGCGTGACCGGTTAAACCAGACCTCTATCCTGCATTACTTCCTCTTCTCTTCATTGCAGGCGCAACCAGTTTCTTCGAAATATGCAACGCTATACTCGGTCTTGGCATTGAAGAAATCTTAATTTCCTCACAGAATTGTGATTATCCCATTTGAATTGGCCCTCGTATTGTTTTCTGATAATCACTTTCACTACAGTATATATTTTTAGTTATAATTATTTATCGTGTCGATTTCTCGTACTGTAACAAAAGTACTGAAATAGCCGCTTTCAGTTGTTGTGTGTTAGTACTCATTAACATACCCTTGAGGTTTTTCGCACTTAGTCGAAAATAGAAATATTATTTTCCTTTCCTTTAATGTTCCACAGTAACAAAGTTAAAAATTGATGAAACGATTTCCATATATCGAAATTGTAAATTTGTCTCAAATAGAACTTATCACAAGGTTTCGTTGAGTAGGTTTCCATATCACTCCTACATTCAAGGATAGATTAAAATAAATAAAACATAACTTCTTTTTTTTACACCACTGGCTAGACATGGTTTGTAGACAGGATTCATTATTCCTTCTTGCGTTATGCCATGTGACAGTCAAATAACCTTTAAAAAAATATTTTCTTTGTCTGGCATCTGAGAAACATTAGCACTTGTATGTATGGTGATATGGTGATAGAACAAACATTTTTATCGCCACTTGATTCGTCTGATATTTAATCTTCCTCCTTGAACTACACATATTCATATCGTGCTCTTTTTTACTTTATTACTGCTGCTCCTCTGGTTCAACAATTAAATCATCAATTACATCAGTTCACTAATTTCATTGTCGGCCAAAACATTTGTTACCGAAACTTCAGCTCAGGTATGTATACATAAAAGTACTACATACGCACAAACCACTCTACAAATAAAAATTAACTTCATTGATATTAAATTAAATCAACAGTGAGTTGCTATATAGACTAAAAAGGTATATCATTACTCTAGGACAGAACCGTTGACGTTGACAAAAAGAGAAGTCTAACTTCAAGATGTTTTTTATTGTTATGGACACGGATAAGCAATTCTGCCCTGTTGCAAAACATTTGCAGATTTTCTTGTAAATTGAGCAATATAATCTCAACAAAACAATTAAACCATTTTAAAAAGCAAAGAATTAAATTTGAAATAAATTAAGGGATATAACTGAAGTGGTACTCTTATCAAGTTAGTAACGAACAGCAAACATGTTAAAACGATTCATTTCGTATACAGAACTACGAAATACTGGTGATAAAAATTCCCCGTTCTTGTTGTTCCGAGGTTGAGAGATCACCCGGTATGGAAAAGAACGTTTACGGTATGGAAAATATACTTATTTTGTGGCATACTAGTTAATGATCAGTACGACTAGAAAGTAGAATCGGCCACTTAAGAATAATTCCGTGCGTTTCAGTTAAGACGGACGACGATCGCTGGCAACCAGAAACTTTTCCGTTTCTATTTTATTGTCTGAATGCTCGCAACAATTAAATACGTGGCAAAACATTCAAGCTATTTACCAATACCAGATAGTCTACGAACAGAGATGCTAAAACTGTAATATAGGAAAAGTAATAGACACTCTTAATTAGCATGGGACCTGGTAAATAACTGCTGAAACAAAAACTGAAGCAACTTCTCACCCAAGAAATATTAAAACGTTCGAACTCATCTCCCGTCTTTTGGTAAGGAATTAAGACATCTTGACATATTTAATAAACTATTACATAGAGGGCAAAGGATGACTGGTCCGTCATTTAACTGTCTGATCGTAGAATTAGAATTGGAAAGATCAATATTATAAATATTGATTAAATAAATATTATATATATATATATATATTTCGCCTTTTGTGAATTTCAACAAATATAAAAGCGTAAGAAGTATAAGAAGCACATGCCCCGTACGCGTGGGGACCTTCTTCCCCTGTTCGCTGACGGGAGGTCAGGGGGAAGCTGAGATCCCTTGATATGGTGACCCTGACTGTTCAGGTTTTGAGGATCAGTTGTTTTTGTTTTTCAATTGTTCTTATTTTAGTCACGTTTGTTTTATTTTTTCACCCTTTCCTTTTCCCGTTTCTACGGGGTTTGCGCTAATGGGGGTGGGCTCAGTTTTTATTACCTTCTGTGCAACTTTTTTTTCTGATTTGGCGAGGTTTTTTCTGCCGGATGCCTTTCATGACGCCAACTACAGGGTACACCAAGCACATTACTGATAGCTAACACACACAATCGCGAAACACCCACAATGACCGGTGCGGGATTCGAACCCACGATCATTCGGTCAGACCGCCCCGGCACTACTGCCTTAGCGATCCCTGCAATCCGGATGGGCTTGTTTGGTCTATTAAATGTTAATTATAAATTAATAATCACGGCCCGTCGCAATTTAAATGCTTTCATACATCGATGTGTTAGTTTTCGCTTTTACGTCCCCAGTTAGCGTACACGATGGAAACCATAAAAAGAAATTTATCAATTATTTCGCAGATTTATGACTATATTGTTCTTTGTTCGTGATTTTGCATTTTGCTATCGATTTCGCATTTTTTCGCAGGTTGAAAGCCTTCAGAAATGTACCGCACCGACCGTCAAACATACTCTTAATTTTTGTTTAGGGTTTGTTGACATTTCGCATTTTTAGCATCTGCTAAAATCCACCATCACTAATAAGAATGCATTCACTCGACATTTTATTTCTAAAAGTTAATATAAAAATTGTCGATAAGATGACACCAAACGTTTGCACCACAAAATCACATGCTGGTCACCTTGCATAGGACACTTCATGTGCAACCCCAAAATATTGGCACAGCGTTGCAGTAATCTTATCATTGAATTAACAGGAAATTTATTTGTTACGTACATGAAAAGAAATATGTTAATTCTGAATCTGACAGTCCCTGTCTGGAGAAGAATTATAGCGACCGGCCGCGATGGTTTCTCCGATCAAAGCCAGGCGAATGCCAGACCCTAACAAACTGGCCAAGGATCTTCCCTACCTCTTTCTTGACCTATCTTCACCCTTCTTTTTTATACACACACAAATATCCAGGACACTACCATACATGCCGGCAGACCTTTCGGGAGCTTATAGCTTAGCTTATCCCGGCTGGGGCGGTGGCCCGCTGGTGGGAGATATCTGGTTAGGGGAAAAACCCGCTAGCCGACGGTAGGTCGGCGCCGGATCTCTCCATCCAGCTGGGAAAGACCACAACCACCACCCACCCACCTTCCGAGCGAAAACATGCTGTACACTTACGGGGCTAATTACGATAGTTGACGCGCCCGGAATCGCCAACAATGAAAAGTTCCGTATAATTCTTGCGTAAATGAATTGAACACGTTGAAAATCAGTTGTTTTTGCCACATTCTGTCGGTTTTCTCGCGAATGTTTAAAATTTCGGACGTGGTGTTGGAGATAATTCTTCAGGCCTGACACTTCAGTGAAAAATGCTGCAGCAGAATTTGTTTAGAGCCGCGTTTGAAGTAAATCAGCTATTGACGGTTTCATGAAAGCGGGTGCTTTTGTCATTGGATGAAAACAGCCAATAACACATTTCTGAATAAATCCCAGTCGACACACATTCAATCCACACGTTGCGCTTATTCATTCTGCACAATTCAAATACTATAATAGTTTCTCGGCACTATAAGCACGTGTTACGCGGTCCGCCATTGCATCGAAACTTCTTGAAGCAAAATATTACGTAATACGAATTTAGACCTATCCAAGACGCCTACATTTTTTTAATAAATGGCGGAAGTATTTTGTCTAGAATGTGTATCGCGCACTTGTAGCCAATCAGCGTTTGCTCACTTACGTGGCTATGTTTACATCCACTTTGTTCTCTCGTTGGATGAAGAATACTTGCGACGCTTTATTTTCTCCGAGATTATTCGGACTCGTAATTGCATTCATTGAATTAGAACAGAGGTTAACTCAGGATGATCATAAACCTTTAACTGATTCACTGTAAAACAAAATCCGTAAGTTATTGAGAAGTAATTTTGCATTTATAAAAGTACTGAATAAAACTATTTTTTTTAAGTACATATTTGTGTGTTTCAGGGACCCGCGAGGGTGTATTCATGCTGGCAGGCAGACCCATAGGTCCGGCCGCAGCTCACCATGGTCGACTACTACCGGGTTTTGGAAGTGCAACGGAGTGCCAGTACAGCAGATATTAAAAAAGCGTGAGTGTCTTGAGTTATTAGTAATGCTGTCTTGTGATATGAATGTGTGTCGGTAAAATATGAAAAAATCCGGAGTGTTTTGTTTCATTATGTGAATTGTGTGAATTTTAATTCATATGTTCATTATTTAGTAAAAATATCTTCCAATATCTGAAATATTTAAGTTTGTCAGCTTGAGATGGTGTGTTTAATAATATTGTTATATTTCAGGCTTAAATTGAACTAAATTCATGACAAATAGTTATAACTTGCATTTTCTAGTCTTGGTTGTTCTTTTTTTAGTTTTGTTGCACTATCTAATGGTGTAATAATATCAAATTGCTTAAAAGTAAATTAGGTGTCTTGAACATATGATGTAAACTTTAATAATAATAGTAATAATAGTAATTTTAGTAAATTAAAAGAAGGAAAACAAAAATCATGCATGCACTTGCACGTAAGAAGCAATTACTGAAAGAAAGATTTGACTCCACTCTCAACAGAACTACATGAAGTATCTTATTAACCACAATTACTATTTGTTTTACAAGGATTTCTTTGACCTTCACAATTAAGACAATTGATTATTCCATCAAGGTGTTATGTCATTTTTACTTCTAGGTACCGGAAGCTAGCCCTTAAATGGCATCCAGACAAGAATCCAGACAACCTAGATGAGGCAACAAAGCGCTTCAAAGAAATTTCTGAGGCATATGAAGTATTATCTGATGGTAAGTACTATCAATTCTCACTTTTTCTTTTTTCTGTAAATTAGTTTCTGTCTTTGGATTTTGTACTTTTTATTTTGTATTGTGCTTTTAACGAGTAAAATTTGTATTGTAGAAAAATAGTTTTCTTTGTTTACCTTACGACAAATTACATTTGCGACTGTTGTTTTTTACTTGGAGAAACGGATATGTGGATTTGTGTTGTGCTACAAAAGATGTCTGAAGGTGAAGGACCCGATAGTCCCTGGCCTCCAGGAAATCTTCATTACTTACATTCAGTGTACCCTGAGCATTCTGCATTTCCAGAAACAAAACGGCGTATGTATGATCAGCGGGGCCAGCGATCATCTTCAAGACCGTCACGGACATCTCCATTCAGCTTTCACGGATTTCACTTCGACTCACCTTTCCGAAGATTTTTTGGTATCTGCAGCATCTTCCTTTGGAGTCTTCACTAATTGCCTTAATCTAATTTTGCTTTCCAGTAGTGGCCTGCCTGCATACCTGCCTGTCTGCCTACCTCAAGCCTCCCTAACAAGTGGAGTGCTTGATCATAACTGTCCAGAGAGCTCAAGGAGAAGCCAGAATTGGTGTTGTGTAAGAAGCAGTTTGTTTTAGATTCAGTTCAGTCTCGAAGACCATTTTGCAAATGGAATTGATTAATTTGTTAGATGTGAAACGTCTACTCGCACTGTGGTCGCAATGTTGATCTGGCCTCCTCTTCAGCTCTTCAAGGGATTTTGGTTATTTGCGCATTATTGTTTTGGCAACAGTTTTCGTGTTGGCACAATAAAAAGGAATTGGTCCCTCATCTAACAATTCCTCTATATAATTGAAATACAATACAGTGTGGTGTGGATTGCTGTGCGCGGTTAGACTGCCTCTTCTTTATTTTCTTCTGCTGCTCCAAGATGTTCAACTGCTGTTTTCAGTTCATGTTCCTAACCTGTGGTAGAAACAAGTTGACCAAAGGAAGAAGTTAGTGTATATTGCAAGTGCTGTGTTAGCATCAAAGTTGCTGTGTTTCTTGGTTGAAAAATTCGCAAGAATGGTCTTAAAGAAAATCAGTTGGATGCTACAATTCACTGTAAAATTGTAGAAGATATTTGATCCTTCTGATCCACATCCAAAATTATACCCATCATTTCCTCCTAATATAGCACTGCATAGATTTCAAAACACTGCTGTTGTTTAAACTTCTACTACTAGTGCTTTTGTAAAGATAAGGAAATTAAAATAGTTTTCTATTTCCTTAACTTTCTCAAATCTTTACTATTTAATGCATCTTAGTTTCACAAGTACAGGTTTTTTCTTTTGTGAACTTCGTCTTGCACTGTCCTTCAAATGCTTGGTACTATAGACCAGAATCACAAGCACTCACAGCTAGATCACCTTCAGTGTGCACACTCTTTCTTTGGCCAACTTATAATACAGCCCTGTGATATACTTCTATTTTTTAAATTTAATTGGAGAGTAACTTACCAGCTGAAACAAAAAGGAAAACTAAATAAATAAACAAATAGGGTTGTGGTGCAGCAAGAGCAATAGTAATGATCAATAACAATTCTTACTTGGATAGTATAGTGAACTGAGCTCTGCATGGGTGTGTTGGGGTGAAATTTAACCAATTGCACTAATCAAATAGTGTTGCAGTTAGGTACCATTTGAGAATTCTTGCATTATCATGCTATTTTAGCATGTATGTTGCATTTTCATTCTCATTCCCCAATCCTTATTCCCTGTCAAATGATTCCTTGGTATGTTTTCTCAATTTTTAATTAAGTTATGTTTGTTTTGTGCACTTATTTTTAATATCACTGCGCTTAAAGTAGGAGGTTTGTAAGATAAGCACATGTAAGAATAAAATAAACCAAGCAGAAGTATAGAATTTTTCAAAAGGTTAGTGTATTAGAGCTAATTGTTGCATTTTTTCTTCCTTCAAAAATGTGCATATTACTCCTGAAAATAAAACTGGTTTTCAGTCACTTCTAACAAATAGTTTGAAATATTTTTATAAACAAAAAGATTCTTTCCTGGTATTAAAAGTATTTAATCATATATAATTTAATAGTGTTTAGATCACTTGAAATAAGAACAACTTACCAAAAAAATATATTTTTTCCCCCCCTAATTTATCTTTGTGATAAAATTTGTCTTGCTATACAATAAATTTTTTAAGCATGCCAAACAAAATGTAAGCAAATAAGATTTCCTCCTGGCACAATTTTTTATCAGCAAAACATTTATAGGTGCTGTACTTACATTGTTGATATTGCATTATAATGCCAATTATTTTGTTTGCAGAGAAAAAGAGGAGAGTCTATGATCAGTATGGAAAAGAAGGCCTTGCTGGGGGCACTCGAGGTGGTCGGTACCGCCAAGATGGTGCAGATATGGACTTCGACATTGGAGGATTTGGAATGGGGGGCTTCCCGTTTACTTTCAGAGATCCTGAAGAAGTGTTCCGAGAATTTTTTGGAAATTCTCCCTTTCAAGAATTTTTCCCCGGTAAGAATTTGGTTCCTCTATCTACTCTACAAGATACAGTAATATATTGTTTGTGTATTTATTTATCCCACTCATCTATTAGGCAAAGCAAGGAATTAATTCTATCTAGTGTAAATTAGTAATTTTATTTATATAGCATTGCACTCTCTACACCCCTCTTCTCTGCTCATCTTGCCCAGCCCAGTCCCACTTTGCTTCATTGGCACTCGCTTGCTTTCTTACTCACTGGTTCTTACTCGCTCTCCCACTGGCACTTATTCACTGCATTGATGCTCTTGTGTTCCCAGTCCCATTTTTTAATTGATAAAGGTAGCAAAAATATAAAAACTTGTTTTTCTCTCACAGAAATGGCAGGCAGAGATCGCCAGAGGCGTGGAGCACGGTCTCAAGATACTGCTGTTAGTTCCCGGTTTATGAGTCCATTCTCATTTGGCCTTGGCTTTGATTTGGATGACATGATGAGTATGGGTATGGGTGGCCATGGTGGTTTCACGTCCTTCTCAAGTGTAATGAGTACAGCAGGTGGCACTGGTAGTACTGGTGGAAACGTGAAGAGGACTTCCACCTCGACGCGGTTTATCAACGGAAAAAAGATCACCACCAAAAAGTAAGTAGCAGTTCTGACAGTTCTGTAGTATTATATAACAATTACTATTGTTATTATGTAATTGTTGTTGCTGTTGAAAGTCATAGAATGTTTAGGAGAAGGCCTATTTTAACATGCATACAGCCTTGTACTATGTGTGCACAAATAATGATCCAATCCTACAACCACATATGCTCTCTCATATTGGTAACGATTACATAATCTTTTTATATCACACTTGTGTCTTAATTTTTCAGCCATCTCTCAAACTCTATAAACAATTGTTTTATCTGTGTATAGGCCAACTTGGACCATGCTTCAGCAGGTTCTTCTAACAATTACTTTGGGGGAAATCATCATTTTAGCTAGTATCCCGATTTTATTTCCTAAGGTTGTCAGCCCTGGGTATATGGGTGGTGAGACGATGATGGTGAGGGATTAAAGGGTAGCACACACGCACACACACGCACAACACGCACGCACCAACACACACACGACGTGCGCCGCGCGCGCGCACACACGTGCGCGCCGCACACGGCATGCGCGCGCGCGCGCACACCACACATATGCGCACGCACACGCACACGCACACACACACACACACACACACACAACCACACAACACACACACACACACACACACGACACGAGGCAGGACTCGAATTCAGTTTCTTGGATGGAAATTAGCAATGGAGGCCAAAATTTCAACCTTGCAGTTTTAGAAAATTAAGTATTTTCAGTGAAATTTGGAAATTTGGAAAATTAAGTAAATTCAGTGTATTTGTTCTTGTGGAGCAAAAAAATTAATACCATGTATGGGAAAAAAATAATCTTCCTACTTTATATATACCATGGTATTATAATTAGTTCTAGTTTTTATTTAGAGACACAACTAATGCTCACCTGTTTATGAAAAAATCTTTTAGATACAGATTATAAGAAGTTTTCAGATATTTGGAAAATTGATAAAAAGAAAACTAGAGAAGGCTAAACATACTATATTGACTTTAATGAAATAAATATGCCTGTCAATATTAATTCCTTTTGGAAATTTGGAAATAGCTTAAGAAAGATAAGTGGTTGGCCTAATTTGAAGTACTGGTATTATGACGATGAATCGGCTGATCACTCGTGGGATACAGAGAAATTGTTTGCAAAGTAGAAGTGTGTATGTAGTGATTGTGGTGGATCGTGGATTGGTCCTGATCATGATGGTATCAATACAATACAATACAATACAATACAAAAGAATAGAACAATAGAATACAAATATTACATTCAAATCCGTAATATCTAGTGGATATAGTGCTGCCCACTAGAGTTCCTGAAGGTTCTCACCTCAGGACACCTACCTTTTCTAATTTTTATAAAGGTCATTAATACAATGTCAAATGTTTCTGGTATATGCTGATGATTGTACAATGAATGAGGTTTCTGAGTGGTTACTACTCAATTTAAATCTACTTTCCTGGTGTGAGTTTCCTGATTCCCAGTATTACTAAATATTAATAAGTAAAAGATAAGTGATGTTTCCAAGATCACATAGACAAATTGATTGTAACTAGAGAAAGTTGATCAAATTAAGAATCCAGGTGTCATATATTATTCTAAATTGTTTTAATTTGTATGTAGAATATATTGTATCTAAGACCAACAGAATGTTGGGTAAAGGACGTTTTGACACAATTTAAAGTCACTTCATTCATTTACAACATTATACATATTTAACTTTGGTACAACCAATTCTTTTATATGCGTCACCTCTAAGGACACCTTATTATGATATTGGTTTAAAAAAATAAGAATTAAAAAATTTTAATTTTTTTGCATCGACATTTGAGTTTACCATCGCTTTAGGTAACTCATGATTATTGTCAAACTACCCATGCAAGAAGTCTCACATCTTAAACCCCATCCTCTCATTTCCACATTAAGGGGGAAACTTAACTTCCAATTACATCAGTGTTAATGAATCTTGTTTATTTGTTTAGAACATGAATGAGGGTAACTTCCAATGTACATACATAATGTCAAATTAAAATAAAAATATATTGTAATTGATATTTGAAACAAATTTTCAATAAAAGTTTATTCAGAATAATATACAAGGTTTTGGAACAATTCATCACTTCCTTAAAAACATTTGAAGTAATTACACAATTTTCCTTGTCAGTTTGCTCTTCACTTTACTTGATAGTCACAAATATATTAGCAAAGCTTTTTTCTCTTAACAAAGCTAAGAAAAGTTGTCTGCGAAAATACAGGGATGGGCATGTACAACCTTACTCTTTGCACTTCTTAAAATTGAAATTGCAAAGCAAAGTAGTATCCAGAAACACCAAACCAACAGAAATGTATAGTGTCTCCCAGATCCCAGATATAGATTATGTTGTGAGAATCATTGATTTGAGGCCTTTGGCTATTGCGGATTGCATTTGACTTAAACTGGTTTCTTCTCCTCCTCCTCCTCCTCCCCCCCCCTCCCGCGCACACACACACACACCTGTTAAATTCTTTCTTTAAGAGACCTTGTTTATAAAGATTCATTGCTTGTGATAACAGTAAAACTATACTGCTCTGTTAAATGATGTACAAAACAACAATCAAAAGACTTTTGAATTCCTGTTTTCAAGATGTAGTCCATCTTGTATTTCACAAATTGTTTGTGTGTGTGTGTGATCTACCAAAAGCGCTAAAAGTTGATAGTTTTCTGCTTGTGTGTTTAAAACGCATGCAAAATACAAATTACTTAAAGACTTTAATAATCTGTAATAAATGTTTTATATTTTTAAGTGTAACAGGAAATTGCCTGTAAATTATGAAAGTTTTGAGAATGTTGTTTGACTACTGGTAAAGTACACTTCAAAATTTAAATATCCATTTCAAATTTGAGAGACCATGATGTCACCTGCATTGATTGGGAAAAAAGCATATTGGTGAAAATTGTGTATTGTTTAGGTGCTAGTGTTCTTCAGATATCTTTTTGGTATGAAGGACTCCCCAAGACTTGGGTTCTGGCTACAGAGCATATTAATGAAATATTTACTACGTATAGGTGCAAGAGAAACTTCTTTTGTATTAAAACCTTAAAAACCTTAAAAACGTTTTTCATCAAAAAAAAGTTACGCTTTTTACTGCAGTATTACAGTACTGGCTCTATTCTACATAAGTAATATACAAGAACGAAAAATAACTACTCAAACAAAGTTTTATTTTCCCCAATTTAATTTCGATTTTTTAGACATATTTGCAAGCATTTATTTAAATGTCCTTATCCTGTCTATCTAGTATTGATTAAAAATAAATGTTCGAATCGTTTTCACCTTAATAGAAGCAAAAGATTTTGGCACTAACAAACCTTTAAATTTTTGCATACACTGACAATGTTATTTGGGTTTGAACAAGACCTTTTATAAATCATTGAAGTCCAAAATTGTTTTGCTCACTCATTCACACACACGCACACATACACACGCACATGCACGTACACATACGCGCGCACACAATGCACACACGCACGCAAAGCTGTGGGTCTTGAGTGCTGAGCTCAGATTCTCAATACAACCAAGATACGCGTTGAATGGGTAAGTCGATAACCCTGACTTCCAACATTGAAATTTTACTGTGCTAGATGTTTCTTTGGGAGAGTAAGATAATGAAGGTAGTGATAATTTAAAGCATAACAATTTCTTTTGAATGCTAGTTATGGATATTATAGAAAATTAGGACATTTATTTTGGTATATTTTTTTTAAAAGTTTTTAAATCAAAAACTTGATGCATTTGTCTGCTATCCAACTAGGTTAGAAATTTGTTTATTTTCTTCCCTATGTTTCCCTTTTGTTTTAAATACAAATGTTCTTCAAATTTTAGATAAACATATACATTTAGATGGTGCACTGTCTGACCACAACACTTAAGCTGCTGTGAACAATGACTTCTTATTGTGTAGAAGTCAAAATACAGATGTTGAATTTGCCTTGTACACAATTTTGACAATTAAGAGCAAGATAATATTTATTGGTATATATTTGTATTGAAAGGAACACCTGTGGGAATATTGGAGAATAGGAATTAATATTGGTGAGAATTCGTGGCTTGGCAGATATCAATGAATTGTCTATCCTTCACTTATGCACTCTGAAAATTATCGTAAAAATAGTAAATGCATAAGGAAATATCCAAATCGTGTAGCTGGTATATTCCTGGAAGTGGGATTGCCATCACGAAAATCAAAGAAGGTTATTGCATGGATATTTAAATAAATAAAATTGTTCACTTTTTAATAGAAACGCAAAACATAACTTAATAAATATTTAATAATATTTACTTAATGTTTTTTAATTTTCTTTTTTAAGTTTTAAAATTCTGCAGGTTATGTATCTTCCTAGATTTGTTGCTTTGGGAAATTGCTATCAAAATGTTCATAATCATGATAGGTCATCTTGCTTGTTTTGGAAGGGGAAGAAGAGAAAACAGAAAGAAGAAAAAACTTTCTAATTCTACCTTCTAAAAATTAGTTAGTTTAAAGCTATTAATTTACTTGTCTTGTATTTACAATTTACTGATTATATTTCATTTGTATAATATAATATTCTTTACTACTCAAACAGTTTTAATTAGAATGTAACTATCCTCATTCATTCATCTCCACACCCTTCTCTTCCCACAGCAATTACCCCTCTTGTATCAATACTGGAAAGGAAAAAGAAGAAGAAAAAGAAGAGAGAAAAAAATGTATCTTGAGTCTTCCTTCTCAGTTTAGTGTTTTCTTGAAGTTAACATTATCATTTTCTGGTAATTTTCTGCAATGAAATTACAAATTAAGATGTTCCCTTCTTATTTTAAATTATAGTAACACTATTTTTCATTTATATTTTCATCTCCCATTCACTTCATTCCTACAAGTGTATATGGCTCTCTTGACGTAAGATAAATAATATGTCACTAACTAATCTTTAGCATTTTGAAACGAATGCTTAATTAATGCTTTATTGCTTTCAATTTAGGTTTTTTATTGGCTATGCCCTTTCTGGAACGTTAAATTTTAATGCTTTACCATCTGATTTCTGTGGATAATAATTCATATATATTATTTTACAGACGCATTACAAGAAATGCTCTCACCAACTGTCGAATGATTGTAATATAAAAAATTATTAAAATTTTTTATTAATTTCTTGCTTTATTTCTCGTTGCAGGATTGTTGAAAATGGTAGAGAAACAACTATGACATACGAAAATGATGTGCTGACCTCCAAGACTGTAAATGGTGTCGCCCAGTCAATTACATACAGCTAGGTTCATCCCACTCATGCTGCTCTCTCCTGATTAGGGGTCCTGGAATGAATAAAACATTTTATGTGTCCTACTTCTACTGTGGGATTTTAAACATAATTTCCTAGAGTACACTATTTAGTGTCCATTCAGTATAGATAATTTCATGTATTTATTTTACACCTTGACTGCATTGGTGCAAGAAACATTGCTAGTAATCGAACTTTTTTCTTGCAAAATGCAGTTGCATTAAGTGTGTAGGTAGTGAATGATGCACTTTTTTTTATTTTTATGTGTGCATTAATATGCTTTGGGTTTCTTAATGCACCACTGTAGTACCTTGAGTAAACTGGGTTACTTTTCAATCTCACAAAAGTCATTGAAATTTTTCTGAATTACGTTGTGTTCATATTTAATAATTTTTAATTTTAAAATTTGTAAGACATTTTTTTCGGATTACATTCTTACCAATTTCTTGTTCTTGGGAGGTATTTTCATACATTTAGTGTTTCTGCTTTAATCTAAATGTTACATTACTTGACACATTTTCTATCCCGTGTTTAAAATCTTCGTAATTGTTCCCCAATTTCTAGGATTATTATTTGCAATTGAATGAACTGTACACTTGTACATCTTGCTGTTGTCTTTACTAAACAGTTGGTGTGTAGTCAAACTGCCCACCCAGTTGCAAAGTGTAGTGTGAGAGATGTGTGTGTGGCTGAATTACAAACAATTAAAAGGGCCTGGGCAAATGAGTGCTGCTCCATTTTGGATCTCCCCAGGACCCAGTTTTTGTGTTCTTTCTTTTAACCTTTAGTTGCATTGGTGTAATCGCTTATTTATTTTAATTGTTCTTTTTTTTTAATGTGTTGCATATGATTCTTGGTACATTAATTTGACATGATGATGTGAAATGTTGGGTGGGCAACAACTGTGAAATTTATATTCTTAGTCATATTGATGAAAGTTGTGATATCAGACTGTATTCTGTTGGTATTTATCAGGATGTGTTGTGTACAGTCCATTGAGGTGGGCACTGATATGCGTGTGTGTTGGCTTACAACATGTTACATCCATGAAAATGTTGTCAAGAAGTTATGCTGGGAAGAGGAAATAGCAGAATCCCTTGCATTGATAAGGGTTGTGATATAAATGTACTATATGTAACCTTAGCTACATGCACTCAGTTATTCTTGTGAGCTAAGGAAAATAAATACTATAGGTGAATTTTGTGATTTGCCTCCTTGTCACCACCTTATTGGTATTTACATATCCTTAAACAATTACTTATATAGAATTCATAGAACAGGAATTGACATTGTCTTCTGTTAATTGATGCTTGTAAAAATAATCTGAATTCAGTTTCTAAGTTAAGTTCTGTATATTATTTCATTGCTGAATTCTGCAAACAAAAAATTCAAGCAGAAAATGCTGCATGGTATGTTGCTATCAATGCATACTTTTTTTCAGAACATTTTTGGTCTTTCATTATTGCCTTGCAAATCCCCTGCCATATCCTACTTACGTTCACTAGGGTCATTGCTTCAGAAATTCTCAGTATGTGAGATATTAACTGTCTTAATAAATTATTGTTGGACTAAAATTAAATTTTGTTAAAGGCAGGGCTACATCATATTTCTTAGTGTTTTTTAGTGTACATGCTGGATAATGAAGCTTTCTCAGAGAGAAAACAAAAAATAAACTTTGTTTGCATTTCAATGGTAAAGTACAGCATGCTGAAAATGCTGATGCAAATGGTAATTTTCCTGATACAAATCTTAAGCAAGACATTAAGATATTCCCCAAAGAAACTCTGTGAAGTATATTAAATTTTCAAGCAAGAAAATACAGGTGGTAATTTTCTGTAAAATACGAAAATACTGGGAATTTGTAGAAGTGTTGAAAGTCGCAGAATAATTTCCTTAATAACATTAGTCTAACAAAAAATAGGAACATTTTTTATTTCTATTAATATGCATTTTATTGTAGTGGAATCGGAGAGCTGTCAAATTGGTATCAGGCTAACTTTAATTTTGTGTGTCGGGGGGGGGGGGTGAAATGCTCTACAAAACTTCTCAGTGAAAAAAGACTGGAAACCCCCCAAAAGTGTGGAAAATTTGTTTCAGGAATTGAGTGGCCACCCTCAAGGAGTTCCACAAGTAAGAACAAAGTGACACTGAGTGATGAGCAATTGACTCAGCAGGAAGTCCTTTCTGTGAATTCCAATGCTTTTATTTATAACTAGTAGTGAATAGCTTTACAGCATCAAAAGGAGAAAATGAGAAATATTTGCAATTTGACTACAAATACCTTATTGATTGACTGGGCAAAACTCTTGATTCGAGGTGAAAAAATTAGGTTTTAATAGACAAATATGTTCTGAAATGGGTTTGAATTGCCTTGTTTATATTGTGACATTTTTGGGATTGTTCATTTTTATTATACTAGCCTGGATATTTTATTAAATAGTTACTGTATTACAGGTTTTATATTCAACAGAAATACATACATTTGTAACTACTACTAGGAACATTATATTGTGAGTTCTGACTCAAGTTCAAATAGAAAAGGTATTATTACATATGGCAAGTCATTTCTGGAGGTCGAAATACAGCACTGTCTTCTCAATTAATGAACAAATCCCTCTGTCATTTTGCTGAGAAATGCTTTGTTACTGCACAGCACTTTGTTGATTTCTCCTCTATAATGTTCAGAAGGATATTCCTAAATTGAGTTGAAGTTCTGAGAATATTTTTTAATTATTGCTGAAGAATAAATATTTTTGTGATCAAATCTGAAAATTGACAGAATAGGGGTGCATGTTATGACAGTTATGTATCAAGTGTGACTGCACTCAAGCTTGACCTTGTGAGTCAGCCAGCTGTCAGAATTACAGTGCTGATCAGAAATGAAGCAAATGACATCTTTAGTCAAAAACAAGTTCCTCTGGCAAAGGCTGCAATAAAATACGAGAATAAAAAAATTTACTTTGTGATTATAAAAGCTTCTGAGGCCAAACAGATTAAAAGAATTGTAATATGAAAAACATGTTTGTGATTTTTGGACTTCAAACCAGAAATTGCCTAACTTGAATTCAAAATTTTTCGTAATTTTCCATTCAAAGTTTGCACATAACCTGTGCATGCAAAATTAAACCTCTGTGCATTGTATTTCAATGAATAGATGTAGCTTGTAAAGAATCATAGCATTAACGAGTCCTGCTGTGGAATGTTATTATTCTGCTGGATACATACAATAGACCATAGTAAGGATACACACAGTTAATGATATTGAAAAAGGCTTTGTTAAAAAGTCTTGGTAACTGAAGAGGGATATGCTTCCCATCCTCTCTTAACAATTTTCAAAGGGCACATCTTTGTTTCATTTATCATAACCTATCTTAACATCAGTGTCAGAAAAGTTGTTTGAGATTCATTGGCATGCAATTTTAAATTAGTCATTTAATTATCAAGAAATCATTTAAAAAAAATTAAACCACATATTTAATTTTTATCAACATTTATTCATGTTTTAACACTTTCTATATATTTGTTAAATTCATCAACCTCCTCCTAAAATGAAGCCTTCTTGCACTTTTTTGTCACACTCAATGTTTGACCTCAATAAAGGCATGCCTCCTACCTCTTTGAAACTCACTATAAACCAAATGCCTCGTTCTTGTAAGCTCCCCTATTGGTTCATGCTATGCCAAATGCATCCTGAATACTGACTACTCAGTATTGAATTTTATTATCATTCTAGTTATCACGTTAATATTTATTCACCCTTTTATCATGTATTACTTTCTTCAACAACATTGTATCTTTTTAGTACTAAAAACTAAAACTATGAAACATTCTATTATCTAACACAAGACAAACCCTATCAGTTACTGGCCAAAAATTTGGCGGACTAGGATTTGTTTCATATTCGTACAAAAATTCATATCAAACTACTGAGAGAAAAATGTATGTTTAAAGAAATGTTTTTCTGCAGCTGTCAAATGTAAGGAAGAGGAGGAGACTAGAGGAAACCTGGATTTGTGGAAGAGAAATCTGAATCAAGACTATAAGAAAGCACAATTTTCATTTCCTCCAAATCATTCACATCATTAATGGATGGAAAATGTCAGAGAATACAATGGAGAATAAATAAAACTATCTTAAAAATAATACTTAAAACTTACATGCCCAAGTGTGTCAATACGACCTTGTCAATGTGTGTAAATACTGTCTTAGCATCAACCATCATTGTAGAGTAAATGAAGGTACCCTATATTCAAACCCGCACTCTGGAACACATATGTATAAAGCCAACTTCATCCCTAGTTTTATCATGCACTTTGTAGAAGGTACATTACGGTTCCATAGGTTTCTGGGCTCAATTAACTTTTTTGTACAAAGAAAAAAAAGAGTACCTTTTGAACTTCATCATTTACTCAAACCCACATTTCACATATGTATATTAACATTTCTAGACCTTTAAAAAAATACTCCGAAGTTTTGTCCGCAAAATGTTAAACAAAAAAACTGCATAGTTTGGCGAGACTGGGCCCTCAAGCCCATTCTTGCGTCTGACCACCCAAATTTCGCTTTTCACTATTAAAGGAGAAAGAACTCACTCGGGCGATTTGAAATTAGTTCAGAGGCTTCATTTAGCTTGTGGCACGAAGTAAATCTACAATATGGGACAGACAGCTTTACTTCCCATTCGAAGGAAGGCGTATGAAGAATTTTCTTGTCCTTAAATTTCGCCGGCTGCTTCTTTCACTTCACACTCGTCAGAAAATGTTCTTCCCCGAAGAGTTTCCTTTAGTTTTGATAAGGGGTAGAAGTTGTATGCCCAATCTGGATTATAGCGTGCGCTTGGCACAGACGCGATTTGCTCACATTATATTTATGAGTACATGTGCTTCTAAATAAAGTTTATTAAAAATCAACAAAAATTTTTTTTTTGAAAAAATCTCTCATGTCTTTAGTATGCACATTTCCAGAGATTTGTAAACATTATTGTACTTTTGACTGCAAATGCTTGAAATTACTTCGTATGAAGTTTTTCAAAGAACATTGCCATTTAGAACGATGTTTTACTGTTCTTAAATAATCTTAAAATAATATTTCCGCTCTAGTAAACCAAAAAATTAAGAAAATATCAAAAGTATTGTGGGCGGCGAAAAAGGCAGCTGACAAGAGTATGTAGCAATTCCAAGTAGCTAGCCGAGACCAAAGGAAAACTAATACGGAAAAGTGTGCTATTTTGTAGAACCACTAGTATTTACTTTCTCGCCGTTAATATGATCATTACAGTAATAGTATACATTGTTACATTGTGAGTAGTGGTGCGTAAAATGACTTCCAATGAAGTTTTTGCTGCAAACAAAAGTTTTCTCTGAAAACGTCTTCAAATTTCACCTTTACAGTAACGCTTAAATAATATTTTCGTAAAAACGTCTCCAAAGTTTTCAACGAAAATTACCATTTAGAACGAGATTATTCTGTTGTATAATTCTCTTAAAGTAATATGTCGGTTCTACCAATAGGAAATCGAAAAATGGAGATTTTTTTAATGTACTTTGGACGGCGATAGATGGCACGTGCCAAGAGGAAGGAGAAAGACCGAAAAATTAGGCCGGACGGAATAAATTAAAACACTAGTACGAGAAAGTCTGTGCTATTTGTTGTGCCACTAGTTATTATTGATATGATTTTATGACTTAACAATCTGAATCACTTGATTGTACTTCTACAGCTTTAGTAGATTTTTATTTTATCCTTTTTTGGATTATTTTAGTCTATTTTTGGTATTTTGCATTTTACTTTCCCGTGTACGTACGTATATACGGAGTAATATACGTAGTATAGGGAAAGTTATGTAACGCAGATAATCGATTTCGAGATTTCAACAGAAATACACGTTTTGAGGTCCCCTGATACCGAAAAAGTGTTTTGTTCTTCAAAACGTCCATCTGTACGTACGTACGTCTGTCCGTCGGGTGCTACTAGTGCCTGAACTATGCTTATAGGACTTTTATCGAAATAGAAGAAAATCCTGTTCATCTGGCTCGAGTCACAACTTTGAGATTTTGAAAAACATTCGTATGAAGTCGAGTCGCATGAAGCGGTTGTCAACTTTTTTACGCTGTCGTAGTTCGTAGGCGTAGTGGTAGCCCAGGACTCTCATCCATAAAGTCGGTTTAACGTACGTATTGTAGATGTCTAGTTTTGGATGGGAGATAAGGGGAGTCAATCAATGCACTGATCGCTAAATGAGCTTTCTGGGTAATATCTTGTACATGATCTGTCCAGTATAGTCGTCGGTCAAATATCAGTCCTAAGTATTTTGAAGCTGATGTTGCGGTCCCTGGAATTTGAAACCGATGCAGTCGATTCAGGTTTTAGTTAACTCGGATATAGTAAATTATCTGTTATAGTGAACTTAAGTCAGTTGTCCCGTTTCACTTACATTACAAATAAG